TGGAGTAAGGGAATTAGTTCGGCAGGAGAGAGCGTACCGGTTGCCCAGCAGGAGAGAGCGCACCGGTTGCCCACCCCATGCTGGTGCATGTGACGTCATGGCCGTTGACAAGTGCACTGAGGTGCAGCCACCTCGCTCTCACCATCCACTAAAAATACAGCCAACTGCTTGAAAATACAGGATATGAACCTTCTTTAAAAGAATCGCCATACCGTAATACTCGTGTAAGGGCCACTCTTTTTTTTTTTCAAAAATTTTGCAAGGTGCGGCTCTTACGCGAATTAGGTTGATGACAGCTCACCAAAGGTCTGTACTGTTTATGCAACAGCAGCAGAGTGCAAGAGAGACACAAATGACATGTCAGAATTGTTTTTATTCAGATTCCATTTAGCTGTTGCGGTCCTCGTTCTCGGAGGAGCTCGCCTCGGGGACCACGTCTTCCCAGAGATGGTCATCTTTGGTGCTGTTCATGCAGTTCGAAATTCTTGTAACCTTGAAGCTTTTTGCAACGACTTCTACTGACATGGCACGTCACGCATTCACAATCCGTTCACACACCTGTTGGAGCAACGCCCGCTTCAGCCGTCCTGCAGGGGTCTTCTCATGGATGCCTCCAGCCATCCATTCAGGCTAACATCGGCGAAATTCCACTTTTAATGGTGCGGTTAACACATACGTCGAGCGGCTACAGCACACTCGTCAGCCCTTCGGGAATAACGGCCAAGTCCGTACGAGTTGTGGCAAGTTGGTTCTTGACGCGATCGATCCAAGTGGCCCCTGAAACTGTCCAAAAACAAGGAGGGCTTTCCGTTGTAACAGCCCTCCAGGTCTGTTTGCCCAGACGGTCTTGATCCAGTCAACGACCAGTTCCTCGGATATCCAGCCCTTGTTTGGGAACGTTTGACGATTCCCTGAAAGAACTTCTCTTTTAGGAGAGCCTTGCTTTTAAATACAACGTACGACGGAAGCTTCCTGCCGTCTGCCGTGATGCACAGCATCAAAGTGCATCCTTGACGTTCTGCACCAGTCGTGTGCTCAGACACACTTTTCGCGCCTTTAAAATCCACTGTGGTGCGTTCCGGTGCATTGAACCACACAGGTGTCTGGTCCGCATTCCCAAATTGAGACTGATCGTATTCATGTTCCCTCCTGAGAGCATATTCACAAAGCGATGAAACTTTATGACATGGTTTTCCCACTCGCGCGGCAGTTTTGGGCAAATCGTTGTTCGGCGCTGATTAAAAAGCTGGTTGCGGTTCATAAACCACGTTGCCCAGCCCCTACTTGCCTTGAATTGTGCTGGGGGTATATCCATGTGGCGAGCAATGTTGAGAGCTTCGACGCGTATTATGTCGGTCGATACGGCGCAGCTGTCCCTTTGTGTGTCGACGACGTAGTTGAGGAGCTCGCTTTCGAGTTGCGGGTACTTGCACTTTTTCCCGCAAAACACCTTTTGGCTCCTGTTAGTAGCGGCGAGGGCATCTTTTTGCTTCATCTAGTAACGCACGTGCTTCTTATCGACGTCGTACTTCCGTCTAGCTTCCCGCTTCCCGTGTTCCTCGGCATAGTCAATCACTTGCAGCTTAAATGCTGCAGTGAATGATCTCAGATGCCGGTCCATCGTTGTCACGTGCGCTGGCTTCTGCAGGGTTCACTATTACCAACAAAGTGACACCGACGACACCAGTCTGAAGTCTCGCTGCCAACGTATGAACACGATGCTAGGAACGATGCCGACAAAGGGGCCGCACAAGGCAAATATGGCGGCGCGCTGTCAACTGCGTGGCCAGTGCGTCGGCGAAGTAAAATAAAAGCAGAAAGCTTGCAGCGCCATCTGGTTTAAATAAACTAACTACACTTTTCTGGCGGGACTTCCTGAACTTTATTATTTTTTCTTCGAAATTTCCACTTTTAAAGTTGGGGTGTGGCCCGTACACAAGTGCATACGGCATTGTCAGAGTTGAGTTTCAGTGTTTTTGGACTTTTTTGCTAATTCCTGTTCAGTATTCCTTTAAGCCCATTTTCACGAAGAAACAATTTTGGGTGCGAAGCAGCTTATGGGCGCCCGGGCTACTGTAAAAACCAGAATATAGGTCGAATCTTTTCTCAATAAAGGGCAATGAAAAGTCTACCCTCGTCTTATATACCGGTCATTGGCAGAAAGAAATATGAAAATCTTCGTTGCCATCGTGAGCATCAGCAGTGGCGCCGTTGGGCAAGGCTCTACAGCAGTTTATGATAGCCTTAAAGAAAAAAGTTGAGTACGCCAAAGCACACGGCAACCTAGCGCCACAATGGGGATTGGTGCATCGGAGAGAAGTGTCTTGATACTGGAGAAGCCAAAAGCAGCGCATCACATCCTGCAGCAACAAAACAAAAAAAAAAAAGCTTCGTTTCGTGGATGGACTGCTCTGCACCCCGAACTGGGAATGTCGCTCACCCAATTCATCTGGGAGCTGCATGCAAGGTAACAGCGGAATGCATCCACGTGAAAGCTCTCAAGATAGGCCACGACTCTGGGCTCACAAGGGTGTAATTCAAGGAATCGCCATTGGGGCTGCATGGATTTAAAAAGCCGAAGGGCTTTGCGCTGAGGCGGCGTGTTTGCTTCTTTCCACAAATGCTGCATAAGTAGCGTATCGGATGGAACGGAGGACGGTTCTCTCTGGGACGTTACTAATGACGTCGCCGAACTCGAGTTCAGAAGAGTCTGGGTGACAGTGCCTTGTGGCCTTCTGGCGTTTAACTATAGAAGATTAGTGTCCAAATAAAAAGAAATGGCACCACAGTGCAGCTGGTTGTGTCGCGTATTTGCCAAGGTAAAGGTGTGCTGCGGTATTTTGCAATTTTTAACAATTTCTCTTTGGGAATTCGGACAATTTATCGCAACAGAGACTTCCATCGTTGTGCGGCGGTGGTCGGCCACTTGGCCCTTCATGCGAGCACGCAAGAGATTTGTTTTTTTTTCCCCCACATCTGAATGAGAATTTTTGCCTGAGGAACGTATCATACGACCGCAGTTTGCCACAGTGCCAGATTTTGCTGCTGTTGCTGCAAAATAATATATTTTTCGGGAATGTGTTAAGCAGAACGTATTAACTCATAGCTCTATAGGGGCATTCTTAGTGTTTGCAGTTTAGAATGTAGTAGCAGGAAAATCGTATTAAGCAGGAACATATCAATAAGGTTCTACGGTATTAGGCTGACAAGTAAGATGTTGGTTCCAATCTTGTGTACTCTAATGATTAGCTGAAATAAAGAAGCCATTTTTCTCATTTTCCAATCACTCAGCCCTGATGACCTAATTTGAATCCATGTTCATTTATTTAAAAATGCTTGCTTACTGGCCCATTTTTTTGTGTGGTCTTCAGAGGTTCCAACTACGAGAAAAGCACGCACAAAAAAATTATCCGGCCAAAACAAAAAAATTCAGGGCTGAAAGGATTAAAGACATGATTCAATTGCGCACTTAGCTGAATCCAATTGTCATACTAAAACACTTGTCTGCATATATTTATTGTTTAACACAGTTCTTTGATAACAACACTCGATCTGTGTTTTATTCTTTCTGTGCTTCGTTTCTTCTCAACTCCTGTTTTTTGTTGGTGTAACATTGGTGTATTTCGTACTTGGTTTTCGTTCAAATAATTATGTGTGATTGTTCTGTGCCGTACTGCTGTGTTCAGTTATTCTGCTTTTTCTTGTTTCAAACGTCGAAAGTTGTGACAGTGATGCTCACCCCTGTAAGAATCCCTATGGGGGGATTGACAGTAATGTGAAAATAAATAAATAAAAAATAAAACATCATGTCCAATAAGAGAGTGCCTATCAGATCTGCTCTCTTTCTCTCTCCTAGTTGTAATCTTTTTAGCACATTATTTGAACTTTGGGGTCCTGGAGAGAAGTGCTCTAGCATTTAGAAAAGCGTGGAGGAGTCGTTTTTCATGCCCATCGAGATTACTGATTTTGTTGGTGACACTCACTTCCAGAACAAAAGCTAAGAAAGAGGTCATTGCATTCAGTGCTAATTAATGCCTCTGCAGCTGCTCATGCTTGTCACTCGTTACAAGGCCACAAGAAAAACAACTTGCATGATTAATGCACCTACTGCTGTCGTCTAGTGATAACAATACTTGACTATCGACCCGAAGACGGTGGGATCGAATCCCGGCCGCCACAGCCACATCTTAATGAACACAATGTGCTTGTCTGCTTAGATTTAGGTGCGCATTAAAGGAGCACTGGCACCAAATTTCGAAGGTGAGATAATGAGCAAGATAGATTTCTGTCGAGAGTTAAACATCTGTGAAATATCAAGGGCAAATATAGCCTAGAACATATTCAATATCAATTTTAATGTGAGTGCAGCCGAGTGAGATGCAAAGCTTACCGGGACGCCGACATCAGCATGGTGTCACAGTAAACAACCCTACGTCAGGAATTTGTGTTGGCTGGTCAGTACAGCGCCCACTGATGTGTGCCACTCGCGTTGGTTTTTCGTGATCACATGGCCGGTTGGCACTCATGTGAGCGAGGGTTCCAGCCATGATAACTGGGTCAGAAGCTACCAATTGCAGCAAAAGAAAGAAGAAAAAAAGTGGAGAATTTTCGTGTCAGTGCTTTTTTCCAAGAGCCTCGGCTGTTTAAGAGGTGCTGTAGCCCTGAGCTGCGGCACCTCTCATAATCATACTGTGATTTTGACTTAAAGGCCCCTGAGAAAGTTATACTAATAATAATATATAAATATAATGATATCATTCACTAAATTAAAAGTTTCTTGCATTATCACATGGCTAAATATAAAAATTTTCTTAGCTGAAGTGTAGACATGCATAGTTCAATGAAAGCCACAGGGAGCTTGCCTTGAAGAGTAGAGGTACGAAACATTGATGTTATAGTATCGCCATCACTTCTTGCAAATTTGCCTTGATGTCAGTTGCTAGATGTCTGCATAGGCATTTGTGTCCCACATCATGCCTTCCGGCCTTGCTCTCTCCCAGGGAGTACTGCCGTCCTACTGTGTACGTCGCTGCCGCCAGCAGCCTCGCCCAGCCTGCTTACCTGCCCCAGCAGGCACCTCAGAAGTACGTCCTGGCCGCCAGTGGATTCCTGGCTCCGCCTCTGGCACCACCTCCCGCCCATCACCACAGCCGGGGCCCTGCCCCCGCCACAGCCACGCTGACTGCGGTACCCTACGCAGCCCACCCGCTGCCCGCACACCTGCAGCCTGCGGCAGCAGGCCCCCAGGGGGCAGGAGCCGCCGCGGCTCCGCCCACTTTTCCGGCTGCACCTGCGGCGGCTGTTGCATCGTACGGCTACGGGCTGAACCCGCTGAGCCCGGGCAAGCCCCAGTACCAACACGTGTATCAGATGTTTGGAGAGTGAACCAGAAGAGAAGGGCTTTCAAAGCCATTTGTGGCCCCTGGCTACAGAGTGTCGACGTGCCGTGAAGAATGTGATTTGCTGCTGAGGTGATGTGCTGCTGGGTCAGCTCTGCAGGAACAAGTGCAGATAAGGGTGTATGTACCAGACATTGTGGACTGTACGCAGTTGGCTCCCACTGGTAGCTTGTGGACCTCGGGTGACTTTTTACACCCACAACCATTTATTCTGTTCAGTTTCTCATTTTCCTTGTACACAAGCACACACCTGGCAGTGGTTCCAGCCCAGTTTATGTAGCACCCAGGGCGAAAAAGTCTTGTTTTGCCTCTTTACGTGCCGCATGCCCCACACGTTCAGCCTTCAAGGCTTTTGTCATTATGTTTTGCTGAGGGCTTGCCTGCTAGAATTACTAGCTCCTGGTGTGGCCCTCTCGGGAACATTTATCATCTGCTCCCACCACGGGTATACGCCTGTCTGCACAGTGGATACATGTGCTCTTAGTCAAGTATGGAGTACAGAACTGTTGCTTGATTTTTCTTTTTCTTGACCTGCTTGCTGCCTCGCAGCATTATCCCGATGGCTGTCCTCATGGCCATCTACATTTGACGGAGGATATTGTTTTGTGATGCCAAACAATGTATTTGTTTTGCCTGCCTGGTGTTTGCTTGTGTTTGGGCAATGTGATCACTTTGCGCACCAAACTACCGACGTTTGTTTCTCTGCGTGTGTGTGTTTGCCGTTGTGTTGGTTGGCCTGGCTGCTGCTCTCAGAGTTGCCAAGAGTGCAGGCACGAGGTTTAGTTGCACGGGAACACTGCGCTACATATTCTAGCTTCTGCGTGTTGAATTGGAATGACTTTGAGGGTGTCATTCATAACCCAAGCAGCTGCCTTCCTGCAGCTGTGCATTGCCAGGGTTGAGCATGAAACTGTGAGAGCTATGTTGTTAGCTACGGTGTGTATCGGGCAGGTGTGATTTGCACCTCAAACTTCCCCTACTATTCGAACAGTTTTTTGGCTCATGAGAATCGTGGCCTAGCTCGAGCACTCCTGCCAACAGCACCTTGCCTACTGTAGTGTTGGTCACTGTGCTTTGTGTAGTGAACTGTCTCTGCCATGAGCTTCTGTGAATGTGCGACGATGTGAGTGAGGTGCCAGTTTATTTGCAGTCACGACCACCATGCAGAGACCACGACATGCGAGGGAAGTATGAAAACCTGACGAGCAGAGACGCTCCTTGGGTGCTGAGACTTCTCACCCGTTGGGGCTTTTTGCATCATAGCAGCAGGAACACCCCCTTTTTTGTAGCATTAGTGGAGGAATTTAGAGCAACCATTCCATCTCTATCATTGCAAGTCAAATGCTGTCATCCACAATTTCCTGTAGTTTATTTCTGCCGAACAGCAGCATTTGCACCTTCCCGCGCCAGCTTTTCTCGTGTGAACTGAACGTCGTGTGCCTTTCTCTCCCAGCCTCCATCGCAATTCTTGTTGTGTTCACTATTTTCCTCTTGCCAGGGTGGCCACGAAACAGGCCAGCTCGGGCATTGCGTGCATTGCTGTGAGCAAGCACCTAATGTAAAAGACAAATTCTATTTCCATCACTCTACTCTATAAACAAGCCAGATGTATTTTTGTGAAGTGCCTCTCTACCTTAGAGCTGAATGTAGCAGATGTAGTCGTCGTAGTTTCTAGGGCCACGTCCCCCATAAGCCAGACGTTGGTGTGCACTGCCCGAGGGAGCAGCTTTTGTGCGTGTTTTGCCTCATTAGCATGCGTACTCTCTCCATGCGGCTTCTAGAAAGGTTGTTGCCCTTTAGACCAGGGAACGGTACGTTGACACCAGGTTTTACAGGGTTGTTTGTTGTATTAGGCCGCTACCCTCTGTGTCCCTTTGCATAATCGGGATACAGCTGTGGCTTTGAGTTAAATGCAAAAAGCTTTTTTTGTTCCTATGCTGATTGTATTTCCGCTTTTGTTTGAACACGTAGAGAGAAACAGTGTGTGCATGTGCTGCCACAAAAATTGGCTAGAAAATAGAAGAAAAAAATATGATAAGTATAGTAGCACATCTGTGATGATGGTCATCATATGCATTTTGCTTGTACAAAGCTTATTAGGGCAGGTGATTGGTTATGTCAGGTGTTGCTTAGAGGCTAAAATATACAAAGTTGTGCCGTATGAAGCTGTAGATTGTGCTTTGGTTGGAAGCAATACACTTTTTGCGTGACAAGTGCGGGCAATTACTGTTTGTTCGTACCAGACCGTGCTACTATTCAAGTTTGTTCCTCGAGTAGTCAACTGTCAAGGCAGTGCAAGGGAAATGAAAAAAAAAAATGCAGCGATTCACTGTGCTGAGAACATGCATTTAAGGTATTGTGCTGTAGGGCACGCACTCTTCGTTGCAGCAGGGAAATGTTTTTTAAAACAAGGACGCGTGAGGAGGTGGCCTAGGCCAACACCTGGTCGTAGTGTGGCTCAGTAGTGTTGACGAGGGAGGTTGCACAAAGTGCCATTTCTTTTTTTTTCTCTTTTTCAAGTGACTTCTTTTTTTTCCCCCTTTGTTTTTAACTCACTCTGCAGTGGCATGGTGTGATGGTGGCACATTTTCCGGGAATGCACAATGGCGCTTTAGAAATGTTGTACTTTGCAGTCGTGCACCCTAAGTGCATGCTTTTGTGTGCCTATTTCTCAAGAAACAAAAAAGGTGCATTGTTTTTCTTTTCGTAATGGTCACATTAGTGTTGAAAGCCCGCTTTTCCTTCCTTGCCTGGCAATGCTGCAGCAATCTTGCATAGATAAAATTTTTTTTTAATATTTTTGTATTGTACATCTTTTGAGCTTCATCTCCAGAGCTTCTTTGTTTTTGCGCATTTACCTATTGTGTGAGCTGCATATCGCCTTCTTCCTCATTCTTTGTTAGAATACGTGCCTTGTTTTTCTGTTTTATTTACAGTTCTTGTGTTTCTTGAATGGAGCAGTTGCTCGTGACAAAATGCTGGGGACGTCTTTCCCACGGTGATAAGTTGGCACCACTCCCATAGCTGCTTTTTTTCCGTTAACTGCGTCAATTTCAGTTTCATATTATCTCCCCCCCTCCCACGATCCATCTGCATTTGTGATGGTGTACATATAATAAGCACATTTCAAATTGCTTGCCTCATCCCCCCCCCCCCTCCCTTTTGGGAACAGCAGCATGCTTCGAGAGGTCAGGGATGCCCACACATTTATCTATACTGTACATAATAGAACGTCACTGTTGCATTCTATACACGTTATACACTGTGAGCATAAATACTATATTAGTGTACATGTCTGTACGTCCCACAGCAAATGGGCAAAGTATAGGGGTTCACTATCGATGGGATGGGCACTAGCGTTATGGGTAGGATAGGGTTGGGGGGGTCTACTGCGATGTGGTGGGACGGGATTTATTACTATGCCTTTTTTGTTGTTGTTGCTGTCCTTTCTTGTCATTTTTTTTTAAGCAGAAAGCTTGTCCCGAGCTAAAGGGTGAATTCCGCGATAAATTAGCTTGTGACTGTCTCATCTAACGATGATGGTACAGGTTTTGATTGTGTCGAAGAGGATGACGCGATGTTCAAGAGTTTTGCTCCTGTATTTTGGTGGAAATCAGCACCTCGCATTTTTGCTGCGCCTTGCGATATTGTTGGCCTGCTGTCTATCTGCTTTCTTGGTCCGAGTCTCAGAGACTGTCTTCTGTCTAGTCTCTACCCTCTTATTCTGTATGCATAAACAGCATATGTTATATACTAGTCTTGAAAGCAAACAAAAAAATGGTAATATTACTATCTAAAGAGTGACTAGCTTTTTGCCTTTTCGTTTTCTTGTTTTCATGGTGAGGCTTCAGGTGTGTTTGCTGCACACATCTGTACTTGTGGTGCCACCTGTTAGTCTCTTTGCTGTTCTCTAGCATTTTCTTTTAATCATTGGTATTGGCTTTGTTCTGAATTGTAGGTGCAGTGTTGACAGAGTTGTTTTGTTCATTTCTTCCCTGCCTTCAGATAGTACACATTTTTAAGGTGTTTTTTTTTCTAGGGAGGAATATGGGAATAGAGCCTAGCTGGGTATGTTTACTTTTTGTTGGGAGGGCTACAAAGGGGATAAACTGACTACCAATGTTTGTGTACAAGCTTGTGACGTTTAGCATCTATTATGACTTGCTAAAAAAAACTTGAAAAAAATCTGAAACAGAGTTGTAGTGTAGCTGTCCTCTAGGTTTTCATTTGTGTTGTTGTTCTATTCCCAATTTGGGCATGTGTGTATTGTGTGTGTGTATGTGGGCGCATGTTTTTAGCAGTGTTGACTACCGTGTACTCTGTTGTTCTTGTTCTCCTGTTGTCTGGCTGTGACTTGCAGGTGTAAAATGCACATCTTTTTTTTTCTCTACCTTTCGCTTCCTTCTAAGTTGTCAGTGTTTATAAAAGTACATAATAGATTTAGTATTCGCGAGTGTGTTTTTGTTCGCTCTTGTGTGTATTATGTGGGTATGGCCAGATGCCTGTTCACTATTAAAGAATCGAAGAACTGGTTGATTGCAGCGTGTTCCTTTGCCACCCATGCTCTAAGCATTGGCCAATTCAGCAGACGATCTTCAAAAGAAACCCCGCCATCTCCACAAAGTGAATGATGTTGAGTGTGGAGAAGCTGTAGTGCTTATTAGTAAAACCATGAAATATTCACCTAGACATCGTATAAAGGCTCGACATATTATGAACAGTTATTACATTACCGATTACAAAGCTCGTGGTTGCCAGGCCTGCAGTAAAGTCTTCATCTACAAATATCAATTATGCAGTTACTACTAAATTGTCTTGCTCTACTACCTGGCCTGGAGAAAAACAAACTTCGGGCTAGCTCAGCCAAACAAACCCGTTTGTATCCCACTCTTCGGTCGTGACCAAAATGTGGTTGCACCACAGACTGGTGTCCATGGCAGTTTCCAGGCCTGAACGCGTTGTTGGGACGCGAGCATGGGTGTTGGAAGGCTTTTGTTTTGGCAGGTGCACGCCCGTCATTGCTGCTGGGGCAGGGCCATTGCTTCAAAAGGGTCTTTTGTGTCTAATTTAAGCCATAGGCACCCGGCAGTGGACCCGAGGGCGCGACGAAGCTCCTTTGGCCGCCTCAGCATTGTTGGTACCGACCGCCAGGGATACCAAGAAAACACAGTGACACGCTTAAGTGTCAGTGCCTTTTTTGGCACGTTTTCAAAGAACGCATCCTGGGCGCTTAACATAATCAGCCGTGACCTTTTGCTAACCACGAAAAAAGAAAATGACATGCACACGCAAGTTCGGTTTTGCTAGGCCCTAGTTTTGCGTCTACTCGCTAGGCTTCGCATCGGAAGACTCGGTTTTGCTGCGCCTACTCGCTAGGCTGTGTGTTCTGGCGCTGCCATCAGATCTCGTAAACAGCACTGCCGGGTGCATATTGCTGTGCCACAAGTTGGTTCTGGAACCGAGAGTAACGTTGACGGCAGCATCGTGAGTACGTGATAGTCGCCATCTTGTACGCTTGCGCTGCTGCATTTACTAATGGCGCAACCACGACCTCCTCTATAGATTAGCGACCTGCCCGTGCTGCAGCGCACCTGCGAGGCAAATTTGTTTTTTGCTTGTTTATTATTTTTAGTTCTCCGATCTGCCACGGCAAAGCGTGGCGCTACAACTTACCCCCATCTCTCGCAGACGGACGAAGGCTGCGTGTGAAGAATGCATCATGAAGCTCAAATCGCCGAAGTCGCACTCGACGACAACTGCCATAATTACAGGAATTGATAGGGGTAGACTGTCGTACCCGAGCATAGTATTTGCTGTCTTTGTTAGCCTGCTTGAATATGCTGCCTCACGAGCGTCACCTTTGCTGATCAAACGACCACAGCCACTGCAGAATTTCACGTGTGCCGTGCTTTCATCTGTCATTAAGTACCCTCTGTTCAAATGGGAAAGGAATGACAGTGTAGCCCATGCAACTGCACTTGTTAAGCTCATTCTTGTGAAGTTTCTGCGACCAATTCTGGCAAATTTTTCCAGCAACGTATCCGAGACTCATGCGAAAAGGAAGTTGCTGCACGCCATGCCACAGCCACGAAAGGTGCTCAAGATTTGAGCTTGGCAAAGAAAATGTACTGGAATTTCACAATGCATGAAGTGTGTTCCTTCTGCATGAGAATTTTCTTTAGTATAACATAGACGATTTTCTGAAACAATGGGCTTAAGCATTTAATTAGTGGGTTAATCAGGGGCACAGCAGTTAAGAGGCTCTACTAAGGGAAGTAAGTGCAGCAAAATATATTTTCAGAAAGATTCGGGTCACTTGCAGTTACAGAGAATGCATTTGAATTTTGCCTTTGTAAGTAACATAAGTGTGCTGGTTTCAATGGGACAAATGATTAAGTGCCGCTGCTTGTAGCAGGCTAAATGTATGGTAAGTTCAGCAACGTGGTCCACGTAATGCATAAAAACGGTGTGTTAAGTATGGTCGTGGTTATACGTAGCTTACGCTGCTTTATAAAAAGCCTGGAGCTAATCGTACTCCATGTAATTCGTGATCTCGAAGTAATACGTGCGCTAAAAAGCTTCCAACTCTGAAACTCAGACTCGGATGATTCACTGTGCTACAAGAAACGAAAATGTGAGCATTGCAGTTTCGGCACTTGTCTTCGTTCAAATGGGCGGAATAAATTGCACAGTTACAATAGTCCTTAGAGGTTTCTACTTCAGTGAAGAATGACAGACTCCTCGACCATGAAGACGTTCAAATGTTATGTCTGAAGAACCAAGTGCAAGCAATGTTTTTATTTAAACGGCGGCATCCTGTGAGAACCACTAGTCGAGCAAGGCAGGGCTCCCATTGACATTCTTATTACATTGCCGACATTATTAACAATGTTGTCGCGATGAAGGACGCGTGAATGTTTACCACACAGCGGCACAGAAAGTTTTTCACAGAGCACACACACAGCAGCCGCGTTGAGTAATTGTTGGGACCGCTGCAATGAGCCGAGGCATGCCGTCAATGCGCCTGCTTCACGTTCTCGGCCTCGTCTCCGCGCACTAGTCAAACAGAAAATTCAAGATCATCACGCAAGTTACTAAAGGAAGAAAAAAATATATCTGCCGTGGCACATTAGAAACCGTTCCGACGGTAAAATAAAAAAAAAAATACCTGCCGCGGAACAGTCGAAACGCGGGAACCGTTCCGACGGAGCTACGGACTTTTCAAGTTGTCGCGTGGGCTGTTATGGGGTTAAGTCGAGGCGGCCTCTCGTGACACTTATGTAACTAGACAAACACGTGACCCTCCATAGATGGAGTGGTGGTGGTAGTGGTTAGAAGATGAGAAAAGGCACCTTAATTTCTGCAACCCGGTGGGGAGCACGGCGCAGTGCCTGAAAAAGTTAGAGTCAAGCGCAGCCGTAGAGAGAACCGGTATTAGCAGGTCGCCAATCTATAGAGGAGGTCGTAAGCGCAACAGCCGCTGTGACAACCGGCACAATCCAATGGGCTTTTTTTTTTTTTCGGGAGACTAGTTGCACATGCACAGCGGTCGTGACGTGACGCGTGTCATGCTTCTTGGGAGTCGGCTGATCCGACTTCGCGTGATTGCTGCAATACCCTTGCTGGTAACCATCGGAGGAAAACGAAGGCAATGTCACCGAAAATCTCGCCAGTATTATTTATGGCCGATCAAAAGCCTTATCGTAGAGCTACGGTGGCTACAACCTATTCTAGCCACTGTAACAAACGTTACTAGAACCAGGTCAGTTCCGCAGCTCCCCATAGGTAAAGTGCACTAGAAGTGTTGATTGGCGTGACCACACCTCGCCGGCTGGATGAATGGATGGATGGATGTGGCTGTACCTTTTAAATCGGGCGGCGGCTAACGCCACCTAGCCATGATATTTAGTGAACTAACCACTAGATTTATCTTTTTTTTTTTTTCTTTAAATAGTAAAGTTGAGGACTATTACTTTGCAGTGAAGGGTTTAATTTTCACTCGTGCCTTTACTTTAGCCACCAATCAGACAACCTTCTTCTAGTTAATTCTACCCGCTTAAAGTCTATTTTGCCCTCCCTGTCCCTAAACCCTGTGGTTTGAAAAACGTTGTGCTATCATCCTGAACTACAGGGTGAAGCCCTTTACAGAACATTATCAAGTGTTCGGCAGTTTCCTCCTATTCTCCACTTGCACTGCATTCTGTGTCTACCCCTTCGTATTTGGCCCGATATGTCTTGGTTCGCAATACTCCCGTGCTCGCCTCAAACAGTAGGTAACTACCCCGGGTATTATCATAGATCATTTCTTTGGCGATTTCCTGCTTAAAGGTTCGATAGATCTCTAGTGCGGACTTCTTAATCATGCCAATTCTCCACATATCGGTCTCAGCTTCCTTCACCTTTTTCTTAACCGATAATTCTTTTTGGTTTGGCCCCCTGCTGTTTTTCAAGTATTTACCAGTCAATTTTCTGGTTCGCTTCCTCCATTTTGTATCGACATTCTTCATGTACAAGTAGCTGAAAACCTTCCTAGCCCAACGCTGCTCTTCCATTTTTCTCAATCGCTTCTCAAATTTTATCTTGCTGCTAAGCTTCCCTGCCCTCAAATGATGTCCATCCCATATCACCTTGTACTCCCTGATTTGATGTATTCCCGTGAGCTCCTAAAGCAAGCCTACCTATTCCACGTTGCTTAATTTCTAATCTTGCTTGAACTTCTGATCTCCTGCACAAGACCGCATTGCCAAACGTCAGACCAGGAACCAGGACCCCTTTCCATATTTTTCTCACAACATCATACCTATTGTATTGTACCACAGTGCCCTATTTTTCATGACAGCTGCATTCCTGTTACTTTTAGTCGTCACGTATGTTACGTGTTCCCTTAGGTACTCGGTCCCATTGCTTATCCATACGCCCAGATATTTGTATTTATCGGTTATCTCTAGCGTGACCTCCTGTATTCTAAGCTCACTACCTTAATTATCATTAAATATCATGACTGCTGATTTTTCTTACTGAATCTGAAATCTAACCTATCTTCCTCATTACCGCAGATGTCCATCTAATCTCTGCAAATCTTCCTTGTTGTCGGCCATTAGCACTATGTCATCTGCGTACATTAATTCTGGTAGTGCCTGATCAGTGAGTTTTCCTTGTTTGACGAAAGAAATGTTAAGCCAAGTCCACTTTTCTCTAATTTAGCCTCCTGATCCCTTCCGCACTGGCTGATCCCTTTGGCTTATCCCTTCCGCGCTGCCTGCAGCGGCGGCGCTACTGTCGAATAGTACTGAAAGAACCGCGCGCCGCGTGCAGGAACTGCTATGCGCTTCGGCTCCTCCGTCGCGATTTCTTGATGCACATTTCTGCGTATCTGCCCGTTATTCATGTCTAGCACATGATGTCATAGCCCTTGAAGTATGACACGCAAATCTACTGAATTTGAGCTCCATAAAAGCCCTTGTGAGAGAACGAAAATAATTCAAAAAAGGGTGTGTCTTATATTGATTTCTTCTCTCTTAACTCTTTCTTTGTTG